GGTAAACCTTCTGTTTTTTCATTTTAACTGAATTTCTTTTCATTGTGTGAGAATTTCTTTGTAAAATAGGAAAACAGCTGATAGACAAATCTATAAAATACATATACAAGAAGATATTTTGTCCATTCTGGATCAATTTGTAATAATCACTGAAGTGTAATTTTAGCAAATAACATAAAGATGTCTAGTGATATTTCTCCTTCAATTTAATACTCGACAAAAATAATTAAAACGAGATAAAGAAGCAGTAATTGAAAACATACTGTGGTGGTGAAACACACTCGAAGCATCAAGACAAACTGAAGTTATCTGACCAATGCTGATTTGAGGGAAAATTCAATAGCATTTTTTAAAATTTATCACTGGGAACAGACATCTAATAACATTTTCTTTCCACGTCTGTTTTTGGAATGCATTTACTCTGTATGTACTCTGTACTTGGTAAAATGTATATTTATCTTTAGGAAAAGATATAGTAGAATAATGCATGCTCTCGGTTCGTCTGTTATTCTGTGTATAATTTGTTAAATCACAAGCCTTTTCTGGAGTTGCTGTCTGTGTTGTTCTTCCCTCTCCTCCCAGTAAAAAAAAAAATTTGGCAAAACCACATACCAAACTTGATGATTCAAAGATAAGTTCTTGTATTTTTGCTTATTATAATCTAAAAAATGAGGTTAGCATTCTTTCCATGGCAGGTACATGTTGCCCACCACCTTTCTGTGGTCCTGGTGGCCATAGCTGCCTTACAGTGGTTCCTTCCACGTTCTGCCCTTTCCTCCTGACCTATGCTCTCCACCGACTTCACATCCTTCTTTAACACTCATTGGGTAGGAGCCAATTTTGATTTTCCTGTTAGTCAGTTGTTATGTCTGGGGTTTGTCTCCCCCCCCCCCCCCCCCAGCAAAACAAACCCAAACCCTATGTTTAATTTTGCTTTTTGAATTGCATGAATGTTCTATGAAGTAGAAAAGGAAGTTAATTACGGACTCAGATTCTTCTCTCCTGTTGGTGTAAGACAAATAAATTCAGTGATATTACAGCAGAATGTGTGAAGTGGGAGTGGAATTTGGCTGTTGTAAAGCTGGAAGGTTTTAAGACAGAAGCTGATTGTCCTTAGCTATACATTGGAGGTATTTTGTTTGAACAATGGGGGAGGGAAGGGTAAGTTAGTGTATTCTGTATTTTTTAGTATTACATTGAAACTTTGCTAAAGAATGCTGTATTCTTTCCTTTTTAAAGAATTTAAAGGCAATTGTTAACTAAAACAACTTCCTTCAGAGGCAACAAATATATGTCTAAAATATTCAGCTATCAAAGAATTCTGACGACTAGCAGATACATTGATGTTGAACAAGAACTATTGTGTGTATTGCAATATGATACACATAACAGTTAACAGAGCAGAAAAATTTTTCGTTGTGCCCAGGTAAATGATACAGCTTGTTGAATGTATTATTTCATTTAAAAAGGAAAAAAGAAAAAAAAAAAGGAGGTGGTGGGGAAGAGAAGGTGTTTAAGTTTATGCATCGTGGGGCATAAGGCCTGTCTGTCCAGTTCAGAGATCCTCTAACCAAAATCCCCTCCATATAAATATAAAATATATGCTAGTGTTGAACTCCACTTCTGGTGTATATGGATATACAGTAATTATGGATTATGTACATGGCTGTATGTAACAGTGAAGGAAGAGGGGTGCATTGATCTAAAATATAACCGGATGCATATATTTTTAATCTAATATATTTAGAAATCACTGAAGTGATTCCTATTCCCCTGGCACTAATGAAGTAAACAGAACTTCTGATCATGTAGCAGTGCCTTGTAATCCGTAAAAATTGTTGCCAACATGAAATTAGATATTTGTGAGATTTTTACATTTCTGTTTCACTGGTTTGTGATGTACTAGTGTGTTAAGGTGTGCTGCTTGAATAGTCTGATAGATACTGGCACTGTACTCTTTTTTTGTATTTTTAGTGTGGGCTCACTTCATTTTACAATGTAAGACTGAATGGAAACGCATTTGAAGTTAAAAGACAACATAGTCAGATACCAGCTAGTACTTTAGGGACAGAGAACGTGTGGAAACTGTTGGTGATTGCTTGTGTTTCTGAGACACATTTGCTGGAATTAGTATCTTTATAGTCCTGTACAATTCTGCTTGCCTTAGGCTGAGTGGTGTGAAATGTAATTGAACTAATGACTCACTGTGGTGAGATCATTTTCAAGAATGTAGTGGGCTTCTTATTGTACAATACTATAGCATATATTTGCCCTTTTTTCTACAGTGATGCTGCCTACTTTTGCTTTCCGTTTTATTCTGTCTGTCAAGCACCCACGGCACACCTTCATATCTCTCCTAAAATCCTCTTCTGTATCTCTAGGATATACAGTATTCCTTCACTAGTTACTCTTTATTTTGTCTTGTTTGTGTTAAATCTGTCGTCTCTGTGGTACAGATCATGTATGATCCTGTTTTATAAAGACTCCTGCGTGTATATAGGATTGCACGTATTCTTACTTGTATTACTCCCTGCTCTATTCAGAATTTCCTTCTGCAGACCTCAAGGTGTACTCCAACATGATATAAGTCCTTTGTTTTTCTTTATTTGATGAAAGATGAAGAATAGTAAATGTAAAAATGAACTTGCTGATATTCTTAAAGGCAATCAATGACTGTGATCAACATAGCCTTTAAAACCTGACTTAATCTCTCTGACTAATTCCTAGGCTACATTTTCTCTTTGTTATGAAGTACTACTTCATTGAATCTGACTTTCTAATGAATGAGCTTTTCACAGTATACGTGTAGTTCTTGAGGATTTATTTAATTTTAAAAAGTAAAGTCATGTTGTCAAGAAAACTTTCAGGTCTGAAAGCTTTTCTTAAATGCTTATTTCAGATAAGGACATGATGTAAGATCATTCATGTGTTGTGGTCATTATGATTTCTTTTTTTTTCTTTTTAAATAAATGAATAGTATTTTTAATTGATTTAAGAATGTTTTATTGGAAGATAAGTAATTGTTTAAATCATATTATGCCATTAACCCTAGAGATCCCACTTTCTCCTCCTTCTTATGTTCAGAATACAGAGGATAGCAAGGCAGAGAAAGAGAGAAGTGTTACAAAAAAAGAAAACATAATAGTTCCTGCCAAGGTTTTTTGGGCACATTTCTTTTCAGAAGAGCTTATTCCTGAAAGAATGGTTTTGAAGGGATAAATTTGTAGCATATGGGATTAAAAAAAAAAAAAGCTTCTTGCATAAAACCGTTAAGTTTACTTCCCCCCTGCAACCTCTCAAATAAAATAAAGGATTTCAGCTCTTGTAGGAAACTAGAGATAGCTTGGATAAAATCAACATTGTAAGTGGCTACAGTTGAATGCAGGTGTTGTTGGTCCAGCTTTTAGAAAAAAGCCAGTGAAATTACGTTTTAATATATGTTACACAGTAATTTTAGATAATGAATTATTATAATTTAGATAACAAAACTTCTAGGTATCTAAGTGGATGGTGTTTGTGGAATATGAAGCCATAGCATTATTTTTTGAGCTTTCTGTTCTGGTAAGACATGAACCTAAGTAAGCTAAGGTACATTACAAGTACGGCTTTTTTTTTTTTTTTTTTTTTTTAAACCACAAAAACAGTTTTGGCAATACACATATGTTTAATAATTTAAAGATGTAGTGGAAAATAGCTTTTTACTCCCTTAAAACCACACTTTTTTTTATATGCAGCTTCAGAAATCCTCATTTTTTCTGTAATACTTCAGTCAAACTAGCTCTCATATTCAAGGATATGCTCTGCTATTTTTTTTTATAGAAGCCAATACTTATTGAGAATTAGCCTTTTAATTACACTGGTAGCTGGTGACACAGTTTATATAATAAGTGAAATCATGCTGATTGATTTTGCATTTTTAAATTTTATTTCCCCCTTCTCCCCATAACTGGTGACTAAGTCAATGAATGTAGCCACTGGGTCATTGAGATTATGAATTTTTAAAGCATGGGATATTGCAAACCACTCAACAAACTTTGTTTGGATGTAAATCTTAATTCTCTCTTACAGTGTTATGGATGATGATGACTTCTTAAGGCTTCTTGATTCTTAACTGCAGGTTTAAGATGAAACAAAAGAAGAGGATATAGGTGTACCATGACTGTCCAGGAAATACAGAAGTAGGGGAGCTAGCAGTATTGGTGATTGGTTTGTGACAAAGCAGTTGCATGGCTAGAACTGAACATCATTGAAGGAGAAGGGAAGTCAAAATAATACAAAAATTATTAAGGGCAAGAAAACTACCTTCTACTTCAGCTGGGGCACTTGACAGCTATTTTTATCTATGTAGATAGATGGTATGGATGAAAAGTCTCTGTATAAAAGGACTCCATGTCACACTAGAGGTCTAGCTGAATCCCTTTGGTGTGAAAATCTAAGCCTTTGCACAGGAATGGCTTTGTTGGTTGGTTGTCTTTTAGCAATCAAGCCCAGTAACTCCCTTGTCTCTGTGGTTTTTGCCTTCATTTAGACTGTCTTTCCCTTTTACCCCCTCTACCCTTCCTGTGTGATTATCCAAAGCTCTATATTTTTTCTGTAGAAACTGTGGATCTGAGATTGTCTATGCAAGACTTTTTTCTTTTCTTAAAAGTACTGTCAATTTTTGGACCAACATGAATTTTTTTTTTTCCTTCCATCAATATTAACTGATTCTGAACCATTAATTGAAGGACATATAAATGGCTTTGTCTGCATGTGCATGGTAATTGCATGCTTGAAAAATTTGAAATAAGTAGCTGTCTAAATATGAGGTCAAAATGTGTCCAACTTGTAGCTGTATAGCATTCAGAATATCTTTGATTGTTACTGCTTATGAATTAAATTTAAAAATACCATATCATGCAAAATGTTGAATTTGTGCTTTAGTATTCCCGAGTGGAATTTTTGTTTAAAAATTCTTTTATATGTACAGAGAAACTGAGCCATACAAATATTTTTAAAAGTTTGCACTTCTTTAAGGCTATTTATTTTCTAAAAAAGAGGACTTGAATATTTTTGACAAATATACACATGGTGTTACGCTAACAAACGGCCATGCAACATATATCTTACATAATGAAGAAATTGAATATACAAGACCTACTCTATTTAACATATATATTGAAAATTTACAGTCTCGCCAATAGTTAAAAAAAGTTTTTCTTATTTGGCAGTATTTTTCTACAATTTGTTCAAATATTCCACTTTATGTGTTTTGGTGAATACTGAAATCTAGTCAGTGACAACCTGAGGTACTAAACATTTCTGCCTTACTTCGTTGTCTTCAAAGGTAATCTTTTTGTTCCTTTTAGGCTCTATCCATGAGTTGTGTATTACAGCATTATTTGGCATAGGATCTGCTTCCACTATTGAAACAACTCGCTTTTTCATCTTACTTTTCAGGACTTTCTGAAACTTTTGCCTCGTGAATGCATAAAGTAGAGGGTGAAATATAGTTGTTCCGTATGCCATTACTAGAAAACATAATCGCAACTTTACCAAAAGGTCACTTGGGCCCAAACATAAGATGGTGGTGTTTAAAACAGAGATGGGTGTCCAGCAGAGAAGGAATGTTGAGATAATCAAGAGGGACATTCTGAAGACTCTCTTTTGCCGTTCTCGTCGCTCCCGGTGCCGTTTTACCGCTCGGCGTAGGGCAATTATGACAGACACAGAAGTCCTTACGCCAAAGACAACATTTCTTCCTCCACTGCTGTGGGACACGTCCGTAGTCTCATGCTGAGTGGTCAAAGAAATAGTTTTTTTCTTTCTAGCTTTCTTCTTTTGTCCTGTTGTAAATCTTGTGCCAATCCGAATATTTAGAGCCTGGAGTATTTTGGTGTATGTAATTAGCATTACTATAACAGTGAAGAAAAAGATTGGAATCTGCACGAGAAGGTGGTAATACATTCCTAGCTCAGTGTGGTACTCATTCGTACTCACGCACAAAAGTGTCTTATTTTCCCAAGTACTTGCGCTTCGAAGACTGAAAAAGTTGACTTCAATGAAAGGAATCAGGAAGGAAAAAAGTGAGATGATCCATATTGATGTCATTAATATCACAGCCCTTCCCATGGTCAGAATTCGATTGGCAGGTTTTACAGAGATGTCGTATCGGTCCAGAGTGATAGCAAAGACGTTGATTGCAGTTGAAACGCTTGCAAAAGAGACACAAGCCTCGTGGAAGCAGCAGATGAGAGCAGTGTTACTCTCCAGTGAAAGCAGAAGGATAACTATAGTTAGAGGAATACATCCCACACAAATTATTACATCAAGTACATGAAGGTTCATTGTAATTATGTTACTGACAGAATTGATTAAGTTGGATTTCATACAGTAAAGTACCAGCACGGTGAGGTTGCTGCCAAGTCCCAAAACAATTTCTAACATCAAAAATCCAGTGAGAGAAACTTGAAAGCTTAATGGATATGACAGTGGTCGGTACATGTTGGTGTCGATGTCATCAACGGCATCTCGAACTGTAATGTTAGATTCGGACTGCATGTTGACTTCCAGAATGGGGGAGAAACACATTCTTTTGTTGCAGTTGGTTTTTCTCCTGAAAGGGGAAATAAAATATGGAACTATTTGATTTCTTTTTTTAACATTTATTGTAGATAAATGCTGGGGAAGGAGGAGGGAGGAAAAGCATCTGTTCTTATCAAACTCTTGATTTACTGTATGTTTAGAGCTTTAGTTGGCATGGACTCAAAAGCCTGAGGATCTAGAATAAGGTCTTTCTTTTTTAAAGGAAAGCAGGATTTGTTTGAAAAAAGAAAAGCGAAAAGCTTCCACTTAGGGAGACAAGGCTTTATTTATAGTGATGTGGTTTTTACAAAGGGCCCATTTGTTGAATAAACTATATTGTGCATTGCTTTTGTATTGTGTTGAGGGTCATTTCAGAAGAATGTTGTTAAGTATTAACAAATTAGTACTCAAGATCATTTTAAAAAGGCTCTTGTGGAACAAGAAAGTGATAGGAACATGGAACTCTGTTGCTTATGTATCATAAAAAGAACATGTAAATTATTTATGGCAATTTAGCAGCCTCTTTCTTATGAAGAGTTTGCAATGGTGTTGTGGGCTGAAACTTGAAGTTCTGTAATTCAGATTTTTACAGAGATTGAAGACTTCTGTTCACTTTTATCTTGTGTGCATCTATGAAACTTATGCATATATGAAACTTATCACTACAACAATTTTATGTAAGTATGTATAATTTCAAATGCAAAACTTGTGTGCATTTGGAGGAATACAGTTTATTATAAACTACATTTCATTTTTTTTACTTGATTTTTTGAAAATATTAAATTTCTTCAAGAAATCAGTGCCTACATGGAATGGATGAGTATTTAATTTTATTCCAGGATAGATTGAAGGGAATAATTTTAGAAAATAATACTTAAAAACCGAAATTGTCTCTTTCATGGTTTTGGGTTTGGTTTTTGTGTGTGTGTATATATATATAAATATATTTTTTTTTTACAAAATGCAATTTAATCCAACAGATTTAGATACATAGCATGTTTGTCTTAGGAATAAGCAAGGTTCAAAAAAAAAAAGCATTTATTACATCTAGGAGATTTTTTATGTTGTGGCTCATCTGCTTTGTTTTACACATGCGGATAGGTTGTAAATGTAGCATCTGCATGTAATACCTGATGTTTGTCAGCCAGCTCTTGAGTTGGTAATGAAATGAGTAAATAAAAGAGAGGTTATTCAATTTCTTGTTATGATACTTGGAGGGTTTTTTTTAGGTAGCTTTAAATTTTAGAGGGGACATACGTGGCATGAAAATAAATTTTAATGCAGACCTTTGTTCCATTCTGAATACATTAAAAATGGATAGCACCAAGGTGAACAAAAATGAGCTCTCTTTTAATGAAAGTATGAATTAAGCACACTTGGGATACAACATGCAAATGGATTTCATCTGCGGTTCTGAAAGGCTTCAGTTGCACAATACTATTAATTACAAATTGTATCATGAAAATTCTTGGTATGCTTCAACAGTTATTTCACATGTGCCTCTTAAATAGAAAAGATGTAAATTAGAACATATTAGTCTCAGGTGTGAAATGAAACAAGAAATATTTCAAAAGCTTTGTTTAATTTATAATTTAGGCAACCTCTACTAGGTTTATATTAACCCTCAGGAATAGGATTCCCTCTGTGTACGCCGTCCTGGCTGTGAATGGATTTCAAGAAACCGTTCCAAATGCATTGCTGGGTGGATGGAGTTCTTTTGTTTTAGCAAAAGCCAGGAGGAAATCAAAAGCAGATCTGGCTAAAACAAGTGACAATCTTAACTCTAACATTATGCCAACTGAAATCTTGTGAAAACAGAAAACTCCAGATATGCTAAGTCTTACGAAGAGATTAAACATCACCTCCTTGTCGCATTGGTTAGCTTTCAGTTAAGTAAAAGCAGAAGTGTGGAGGCAGGGAGCTGATCTACCCAGCGCGTCGCCTGTCTGGACAGTGCCTGTTGGCTTGCAGAGGCTGAGCGGAGGTGGGGTGCATGCGACTGCTGACCTACCTGTTCTCTGTGCCTCAAGGGCCTTTCAGATCATTGCAGCAGCTTGTCATAAATTGATACATGGTGTCACTGACAGATATTTGACATGCACTGTAACCTGGAAACCGAGTGGTAGCTGGGCTCTTATTTCACTCCTTGCAGGTTTTTTTTTTTCTTTTTTTTGTTCCAGCACTTCAGCAGCAAAAAATTCTGATTAAGCATGGGGACTTCTTAATTGCCTGAGATACTTCTACAGACCAGTGCATATTCTGCGTGTCTGTTCTGAGTTTCAAGCCAGCAATAACAAATAAACCTTCTTTTAAGTGATGTTAATTTCTTTCCCCTGTTGCATTTTGTAGCAGCCTGTTTTTATTTCCCAGGTTTAAAAAAAAAATAAAAAAAATTCTGATCTCTCTGTTCAGAGTGTATGTAGACATCCTTTAGTTTATGGTTGCGTATTTCTTTCTGTAATATTCCTGCTTATTACTTTTTGAGTGATGGCTTAGTCAAAGAAGTTGCTATACATCATAAAATCCAGTTTATGTGCTTTGAGAGTAACCATGAGTTACCTAATTTGGTTTACTTTCATTTAAGGAGAATACATAACAGACCGTAAAATTGAGAGAAAAATATCCATTAGTCATTATGACAAGTACGTTATTTAATGAGTAGTATAGAAAAAGCTTGGTTAAACCCTTATTCAGCTTGCTGGTGAAGTATGCATATTCTCCTTTTGGGAATTCATGTTTCATTGTTTCTTCATGCATCAGTAGTTTCCACAATTCTGGTTTTAAATTATAAATCCCTCTTTAAGAAATGCTCACCATTTTAAGAATCAATCATTGCACTCTTCTTTTAATAAAAATCTGGGCAGGTGTGTTAGTCTTCCATGTATATTGTTGAAGTGTCGTGCACGTAAATGGTAATACAAGTGTTTTCCATGTTTTGTTTCTAATCCTTTATGTCTTAAGAATACATTTTAGTGATGCATCCTGCTGCTTGTAGGTCATACAGCTAGAAAGATACCCGGTCAACTGCATTCTTCATATTGTCAGTTGTAAAACTGAATTAGTTGCTGCATGCCCTTGTGAAGGGGAGGAAAAAAAAGGTTAAAAGTAGGGCTTGTAATTTCAAAATAAAGTAATGCAAGAAGATATTTTCTAATATCACTTGTTTCATGAGTAAAAGATCTCTAAAATTGGATCTTATAGATTACATAGAAAATCAGTTAGTGTGATCACTATTTGCTAGTAAAATCATGTCATTCTTCTGTCAACTTACATGAATTTAGTTTTTTGGACAAGTTTCCTGTTCTCCAAATAGGGCAGGTTACAAAAAACCCCTGACTGGAAGCAATAACGGTTAGATGTAGAGTGTCTGTGACTATAGCTCTTGTGAGCAGGTAGTTTATGCATACAACTCTCTTGTCTTCTAATGAGAAATTGAGCAGAGTCAATGAGCTTTATAGGAAATACGGTTTTGTTTAATTTGCACACTGTTATAATTTCCTTTCTTGAAAGAAATGTTTAGCAACATTAACATCCCTGTTTTTAATAAGCAGCTTGAATGTACAGGGTAATGAAAGAAATAAGTTTAAAAAAAATCAACAAAAAGGGGGATTTCTTGAGCAATCTGAGATTAGTAATATTAGCCAACCTTCATAAAGCAGTAAGTATACAGCAATTACAGACTCTGATCCTTCAAAGAGTAACTGAATAAATTTGTAACACATTTAACTGCCGATATTTGGAAATACTGCTGAGGGAGGAAAAAATATTCCCGGTTGCATTATGTGTTATTTTCCCCAATACAGTATTAGCTTAAACTGTACTGTCTTTATGTTGTACGATCAAAACAGGTTCTTAATATTCTACAAGAATTTCATACAAAATAACATTTCTCTACCATTGTGTTTTTAACGGGGAGGGGGAAATAGCATATGAATATTTCCTGGTCTCAAATATAACAAGATACTAACGCTTAATGTAAGTTGAATCTGATCTCTTCCCTTTTTTTCCTCAATTTTTTTTTTTTTTTTTTTTTTTTTGTTAAATGTTGCTTATTCTGCATACCATAATAAGGAACAGATCTTACCTCCACTAAAGATTTGATACATTCTCGATGCAGGTGAAGCAGTTCCAGGTTGGAGGGATTCATTTTGTTCACTTGTTGGCAGAGTAGAAGGAAAAGAGGGTAATAAGCATCTCTTCAAAAAATGACCTTAATGAAAATTTGTGCCTGTACTGTGCCATTGTTTCAGCATACTGCTAATGTATACAACTGCTTTAGTTCTGGTTTACAGGCTGCTGCAGTCTCCCACTCTTCCTACTGTAGAATCAATAAGCATCTGAAAATACATAATGAAAGTAATTTAACATACTGAAGGCTTCTTGTCTCCAGAGACACCACTGAGATTCAAGCTTTCTAAAAAAGAAAAGCAGTGCTTCTGAGAGGAAAGCTTGCGATGGGCAGCTTTTGCAGAATGACAGCCTACCTTGTCGCTTCTCCTCACTGCAGAGAGATGCAGTGCATTCACTAATTTTGATTGGTCAGTGATGTTAGGCTTAAATTGTGCTTCATATATGGGATTGATGCCCCCCCCCGCCCCCGATTTATATAAGGATTCTTTTATAAAAGGACTAAATTTACAAATGATTTATGAATTCTGGAATATATTAAGGGTATGCCAGTTTTATTTTTACCTTTTCACTCTTTACTTTGTGTACACTGGAAACCACATGACACGCAAAAAAAATGGGATTAAACATTTATTACTTAAAAAGCTTCCAACAGTCTATATTTGAATTTGCTTACTTTCCATTTGTGATTTGTTTTTTTTTTATCCTAAGAAGATCTCTGAAATAAAACTGCCTCTTTGAGCCGTGCTGCATTTCACCTGATATGTTTATGTGCAAGTGAACATTTAGGTCTTGTCTTGAATAAATTATATTCAGGACAAGTTGATACCCACATGTAGATTAGGAAAATTTCTGTTAGGGTTCACAGAGATTATTCAGATCCTTAACATGGGCTGATAATTCAGTTTAAATAGTGAATCAGAAAATAATGATTTTTATGATCCATAACCATGTACAATGTATGTATAGTAGTGTAGGTTGTTAATTTTGTTGAAATGTTAACTTCTAAAAAAAATCTTACATGTTCCACATGAATTTTGCTGGCGTCTTGACAGACTTTTGTAAGGATGTCTTACATGATGAATTCTTGATCTTCACTTCGCAGAGGGCAGGGGGTGTCTTCATTTTCACTTGTTTTGTAACTTATTTCTGAATCTGTTCTATCAGTATAAACAGCGCTCACACCATATAACAACGAGTAAGAGAAGTGTAGCACAATATAATTTTTAATGAGTACTAATGCTAAAATAGATAAGTTCAGTATACAACCCAAAATAATATTTTTTAAAACTTGTTTTGCTGAAGCAAATAATTTAAGAATATCTGAGTAGATAATCTTCTGCTGGTAGTTTTTTATCTCAAATAGGTGTGGGGTTTGGGGCTTTTTCTGATTCCCCCCCCCTTGATTTTAAAGATTTTAAAATTTTTTCAAAAAAGTTTGATAAAATACTAATTATTAAGGCATTGTTCTTCCCTAAGGTCCTGTATTAAGATGACAGTTTTGTTCAAATTTTGGAGTCCTCTTTTTAAGTTGTTAATGCAATTATAAAATGCAGTTGTGTAGCTCAGATACCTGCATTTCTTCTCTTTACTTTTTTTCTCAGACAGCCATCCAATATATTATTTATCTTTAGATAGGAGCATACTTACTTTATTTTTAAAAATGGCTACATATCCATCTAGTGTGCTTCCTGTTGCGTACACTTTTATGTTCAGAAAATACCTAAATAAAGATTGCAGAAACTTTGAACAAAGATCAGTAGGTACCAGCTGGCTATGCTGAGCAGGAACTGACTGAGCTCTTTGAGCTATCTCTGTATCGTCTGTCTCCCAAGAGCTTGACACCAGTGATACCAGCACAGCTCTTAGGGGTGACGTGATAAAGAGGATTCCTGAAATGAAAGCATAAATACTAATATATTGAAGAGATTTACTTGCTTCACTTTCAGTATGACTTAGGATAAGTAGGGAAGCCTATCTAAATTTAAACAGATGAATCTCCATCTCCCTTTCAAATTCTTCAGTGTGTGCCTGAACAAAGATGGAGATATTGGATGAGCTGTAGTGTTTGAAAGGAAAAGATGTATACACGGAGGAAGATGGTAAGGGGATTTTGGGTATAGTGTGAATATGTGGTTCAAATGCAGGCAAAGGGGTCATGAAAGACTTCCTATATTACAGGAGATGATAATGGCAAAAGTTTTAGCTGCAAAAAGTGTTTGAGAGGAATGATAAGGAGCTGAGCTGTGAAGATATCAAGCTTAAGTTTTCTGGAGAGAAAATCAGGAGAAGCAGCAGTACCATATGGAGGCAATCAGGAGTAGGTGGATGGATAGACATGCTTACAAGCCATTGCTGTACAGATGCTAGTTAAGATGGTGTGAACAGATGACATCATCCTCAAAGGGTAGATAGGGAAGAGTGGGCAAAAAGAGCCATGTGCAGACACCCAGCATAGACAGAAAAATGTGCTGTTCTTATACCTGTTTCTATATCAGTACAGAATGGAAGAGAAATAATTTGACTGATATTTTAGGTTTTAGGGAAGTGAAAAGTAGGGTGGAAGGGTAATGAGAGGGTAGAAATAACAGGGAACAGCAAGAGTCTTAAACTAGGAGATTGGTGATGAAGGATCTTAGGACTGAGAATGGCAACACAAGGGGAGAGGGAGACCCAAAATGTGACAGAGAATAGAGTTGTGAAGGGCTGAGCCTGCTGGGTCTGATGTGGGGAGAAAATAAATGCAGAGGCAGGAGCTTGAATCAGAGTGGAGCAGAAGGGAACAGAGGCGTGCGCATAGGGCTAGAGGTAACTGCAATTGCCATAGCGTACACCCCTATAGTACTTTAAAAATGAATTCAGGAGTCGTAACTGTCTGTTAGGGTATGTATTTCTGTTTTGCTGAGAGCAGGAAGTCCAAAAATTTGGAAGTTGTAACATATGTCTTGGTCTTCTTCCATCTTTTTATCTATTGTCTTACTTTCTACACACAGGAAGTAATGTCCTAGCATCACCCGTTACTGCATTGCGAAATGATGGTAGGTCACTTGTAGATCTGGAGGTCTAAACTCTGCTGGTGAGTTCCTAAGATCACCCCGAATGCAGCTTCTTGCACTGCAGTTCTTTAAAGAAGCTTACATCATTAAAAGGAACACCCTTAGGCTCTTAAGGTCTAGCAGGGCCAAATGAAGTGCTCAGTTCTGATATTTTCAATCAGAGTCCTTGATTTTGGAGCTTTAGCAGTCTCTTAATGTGTTTTAGGGTTTAACTTTACATAAACATATCACAGACTGTCGTAACATCCAGGTGTCATGGAATAGGCACATTCATGAAGGCTGGCCAGGTTGGGAAACTATGTCCGCATACTTCCCTTGTTCTCTGCATTATTCTTTTCAGTTTCTATGGTTGTCTCCCCTGAATGCTTCAGCAGCGCTTTCTGTTTCTTTCTTTGGGCTGCACGTCTTGTTTCCTAGTTTGACTCCTGCTGCTCATTTAGTGGCTGTTTATAATTGTACTGCTTTTGGATCTAAAAATGTCATCTGTTCTCATATTTGCAAGATACTTGTGGGCCTAACTCATACAAATTTTCAAACACAGAATCTGTTTAGAGCTAAAGTTGCTTTTCAAAAGGAATATTGGATGATTTTCGACATCTTGCTCTGGGATTGTTTTTCAGCATTATTTACATGGTGCACCTGCACAATTCCAGCTGGATAGATCCTTCTGTATCTTGTACTTACTTGTACTGGGCAGAGTGATGCCCAATTCTAGTGTAGCTCTTCCGGATTGTTTGTATCTGCTCTAGCAGCTTGTGATCCATATCTAAAATGTGTTTCTTACCTCGCAGCATCTTTCCTCAATAGTCTGTTGCAAAGAACTTTGTTAGAATGTTGTTGAAAATCCAGTAGCTTTCATAGTATCAAGGAAAAATAAACAGTGGATGATAGGAGTTTGGGTTTGGGTATTGTACCTATGTGCCCTTGTTACGCTGGATTTGTCAAGGTGTTCTGTTTTACCTGATACTGAAATTATGGCTTGCTGGGCTGGGTCGTGCTGCAGCATGCTTTTCTGTTAAGAGGTGTAAATCCACCTCCTGTCCAGTACACAAGTTCTAGCTGTAAAGAGCTTTATTATTGTTTAAGAGTGATATGCTGGATAGATGACAAAAACTCTGCTAGAATTTGTACATAAGTACTATTCTGACACTGATGGTAATACAGTCTTTTCTTCCTTTTGACACAAGTACTTTACTCTCATTTCTTTAATCTATCGAGAACTGTTCTAAGGCTGTTATTCCTTTTCTATAGTAAAGACTGACATCTACAAAATTAATTTTCTATTCAGTGTCCTATCCCTAATGTTTATTTTCTTTTCTCCCTGGTTGTTGATTGCCATACAGCTCGCTTTGTTTTGTTATTTTTATAATTACTGACTTAGGCTGGGTTTTGGGTTTTTGTTTTGCATTTCTCACTTCTGTTTTTCCCTTGCCAGAAAACATTCCTACACATGGGACATGGTTGATCTCAGTTTCTCCATTTTGGAATTACCTCTATAGATGTAAAAAAATCTGGAATTTCCAGCTTAATTATGTATTATTTTATTGTGTTTCCTCTTGTATTTGCAAAAATGTACACCTTTGGAAGCAACACAAAGACGAATATTTTTAAATAGATATCAAATACATCACATAGAAACAATCTAATATATTATAATATAAATACTATATTTTATATAATTTTATATAGATAATAGATATTCATTTTCAGGATGTGGAGCTAATACTAGCATAGCAGCTTGAGTACGGAAAAATTACCTACTTATGCTATGAAATAAGAATGGCTTAGAAGATTCATTTGGTTTTGTGCAATTGTTAGGCATAGGTTATTTGTTCAGTAGTGTTCCATGTGAGTTCAACTATTGACCTTTTCAGCACTGGAAGTTCCTGTACTCATGAGGAAATCTGTTAAATTACAGAATGCCCTTTAGCAGTTAATACTGAGTAGGCATCCTTTTCATATCACAGAATCATTAAGGTTGGAAAAGACCTTTAAGATGAGCAAGTCCAACCATCAGCCCAACACCACCATGCCCACTAAACCATGTCCATATCTTAACAGTAAGCTTGGTTTAGTGATGTAGCTGAATTGTGTTCCTGGTGCATTATTACACAATTATTTAAGCATTTTTAGTTAAAAAAAAGGGGAATATCAATTATCCTCAGGAGGCAAGTGTGGCTGGTAAATTTAATAGTCATTTGGATAATATCAATCTGACTTCAGCTTTTCTCCATGGAAGTGGTTTGTCCTCTGGTGTAAACATACACAATGAATGGTGCTGTATCTTGTAGTAGTTATTGGCAAAATTTTAAATTGTACATTTCAAGAGAAATTTTTCATTTTTCTTTAAAAA